TTACCCAAAAAAAAAAAAGGGAAAATGGGCCGCCCAACAAAAGGCCCAATTACCAAAAAAAAAAAAAAGAGAAACGGGCCGCCCAACAAAGGGCCCAAAAACAAAACAAAACAAAACCAATAAAAGGGGAGGAAGAAGACAACCAGCAACCAGGCGAAGCAAAACCCAAGCCTCTCCCATGTCGGCTTTGATCTCCCTCTTTCCCTGGATCGACATTGTTTCGACGGAGCCCAGAACGCGCTGTCGCACCCCCTCGTTGAGTTCTAGGTCCGCAGCTGATGTAACCCATGAAAGTGAGGATTACAATGTGGGAAGTCAGTTTGCTAAATTAGTTAAGGAGGTGAATTATATGCAAAATTAGCAGAGGCGACCGAATAATTCCCACTCCAATACATACAATAGAGGTTGGAGAAACCATCTAAACTTATCATAGAGTAATGTACAATCTTCTCAAAATGCACCTGATGGAGATAAAACTAAATTATAATCGGGATTCTAAAATAGTATTTTATTTAAAGTACAATTATTTCGATTAGAATAAATTAGTTCAAGCATTTCGATAAAGTTTTAGTTTGTTAGAAGTTCGTTTGATTTTAGATTATTTCCGTTTATTTGCTTTATTCATTGTAATATTCAATCATTGATTATATAAATGAGAATATTTATTTCTTGCCCTTAATTCTTTTCTTCTTTGTACCACTTTCTTTATAATCGCTCAATTCTTCAAATAACATTATCATAGTCGATAATGCTATCTAATTGTCACACAAACATATATAACAAGTAAATAATTTTTACGTTTCCTAATTTTTTTATTTTTATTTTTATGGCATATTTATTTTTTTTGTATATATTTGAAAAAATAGATTAATCATATACAACAAATATAGTAAAACAATGAAATTACAACCCTAAACTTAAAGTAAATATTGTCCTCAATGTGAGCAATATATAAGCCTAAAAAAAATTAGATATACTCTACGTGGAATAAGATAATGCCTCTTCGTCCCCATCCCAACATTCAGGGGCGGAGCTAGCCTATTAAAGTAGGGGGGTCCCAGAGTTGAAGGGCCAGCCCTCGAATTTTTTTTTTGAAACATTATCTGTTAAAATGAGGGAAGTTGGTACTTTGTGAGGGAGAAAGGAAATAGAAGAACATAAATTAATGTACGAAAACTTAACAATACAACTATACAAACAAGTAAGGAGGAACCAGAACGCATAAGTAAAAAACCATGCCATCTAAAAAACTCACTAGAGCCTGTAATAGCCTAGAAGTCATTGCACAGCCAAATCAATTTTTGCCTCTGTAAATTGTAAGGAGGAAAAACACAAAATTT